GGCGGGGCGGCGTGCTGCTGCTCCCGCTGCCCCGTGGCCTGAAGAGAGCTGCCGGCACGCTTTAGGCGGTGCGTTAGGCGGGTGCGCCAGCGCGAAAAGACGGGCACGGTTGAAGCTGAAGTAACAATCGTACGGCTGCTTGCGGGGGGGAGCCTGACCTGAGAACCCGGCTGCTGCTTTAATTCTTTCCGCTGCTCCCCGAACACTTTTCGGTTACGTTTTTTCCTGCCCGCGCCGCTTGTTCGGAAGGGCTGCCTCTTCTTCGCCGTTTGAGCGATCGCCCTGGACGCTGTCGGGGGGAAGCAGCCGGGTGGGACTTCGGTCGACTTCGGTGGGGCCCTTCCCGGGCTGCTGTGGGGCCCTTCCCGGGCTGCTGGGTTGGTGCAGGTAACAGCCGGAGTTGCAGCGATCGCAGCTTAACGCGTACAGACGAGTTGCTGCTCTCAGAGCTGCAGAAAGGCTGTTCTGAATTACTGAGCGTGTCCGCTCAAATGAAGCGTTTGTTAGCATTCATAATGAAAATGCTGAGGGGACTTTAATCCCTCTGAGCGTGCGTTTGTTTGTTTGGCTACAGGCAGCCCAGGAGTGCCGGTGCCATAACCATAAGCACTTCGACAACAAAAGTCGGCATTTTTCATGCCTTACATGCGAAAAAGTTTATGACCTCGAGTTCTCCCAGAGGAATGGTCAGGGGCTCTGCGCTGGCCCTGCTAACCTGGCTGTCCTTGGTCAGTAACCAGTACCGACAGCTTTGCCACTGCGCAGTTGTGAATAAAAAGGTAATCCGTTAAAATGTGGCTTTATTTCCCCAAATCTAGAACGGCAGTGGTACAGGAGTGCATCTACAAGGTGCCTGTGAGGATTTGAAGCTTCTTTTTGATATCTTCAATAACCTTAATCATAAGTGGGGCTTTTTGTTTGTTTGTTTCAGAACAGTGGACGAGAGATACTGTTACTAACTCCTTTTTCTTGTTTTTCAGTCTCTTTTCCCTTTCAAACGTTAACGAAATGTCCCTCTGTCACTCCCCGTCAGTGTATTTCACTGTTTTCCCCCTTACAGCTGTCTTTGGCCACTACACTTTGCTTTTTGACTTTTCAGTGCGCTGTTAAGGCATTTTATATTTTATAAAGCTACTAATATTTTCTCAGCCTGTAAAAAAGCTTAATTATATTTTACATTGTTTTATAGCAGTTACTTGGGTTTCTAAATCTTATCATAGTAGCATAAAACAGATACCCCGAATTAGTAATTTGAATAGGATGCGTTAACTCAGTTGATCTTGTAGAGTGGTGTTAACTCCACAGAAAATTTAAATGTCTTCAGAAGACAAAGAAGCTCAGGAGGATGAGCTGCTGGCTCTGGCTAGCATTTATGATGAAGATGAGTTTAAGAGAGCCGAGTCGGCCCAAGGAGGAGAAACCAGAATTTGTCTGGAGTTGCCCCAAAACTTCAAAATTTTTGTGAGTGGTGAGTTGAGATGTTTTGTGTTATCCCAAAATTAGTTTTTACCAAGCTCATTTTCCGGTGGTTGCTGCTCTAGCGACCTATAGGAACCCTGGGCAGAGAAAGCCGTGACTGACCCCGTGCGGTGCTTGTGGTATTGTTGGGGTTTATATCTGAGTGGGTGATTTCATCCTCGTACATGCAGCCTCTTTAGTGAACTTTAAAATTAGAGATGAGTAATAGTATTTCTTTGGAATAATTAAGTTCATTTATTATTTTTTTTTTCCTTGAGGATATGTCTTTCCAGTTTGTTTTTTTTTTTTTCCTTGAGGATATGTCTTTCCAGGTTCGTGCAGGATCTGATATTTCACAGTACTGGTGTTTACTGATTTAACCATATGCATACAACCCCATGAAATTTTACCGTACTGGGAAGTTTTGTTATTTAGGGTTGAAGAAATAATTTTTAAACCCAAAAAATTTATCAAATGAAAGGAGATACCTGTCATAAACAGTTACAGTTCATTAGTTTTCATCTCAAACCGTCTCAATTCTCTTTGATTCAGGCAGTTCCACGGAAAGCCTCCAGAACAACGGGTTTGAATACACCGTTTGCTTTCTGCCTCCCCTTGTGCTGAATTTTGAACTCCCACCAGACTACCCATCAACCTCCCCCCCGGTGTTTACCCTCAGTGGAAAATGGCTCTCCCAAGCCCAGGTTTGCACAACAGTTTTAACATTTTAACAGAGCTGCTGTGATCGCGAGTAAGTTCGTCATTAACAGTGCTCTGGGGGATGTTAATGTAGGAGGTGAAAGTAAAATTAAGACCTAAGTGATTACGTTGCTCTTGCAGTTGGCTTTTCTTTTGTTTCCTACTTGTTTTTATTTGGTCACCATTCTGGGGAATGAAAGTTTGCATCTGTGAGCATTATTTTGACACGTATTTTATGTTACGTATAAAAACCTCCAGAATCTGAAATCTAAATATGCACGAAGGGGGACCATGGGAGAGGAAAACAGTAACGAGTTGTCAGAGCTTGCTGAAACCTGGAATTGTTTTTTCTTTTCTAGCTCAGCGCTCTTTGCAAACACTTAGACAATGTATGGGAAGAGAATCGAGGCTGTGTGGTCTTGTTTGCCTGGATGCAGTTTCTGAAGGAAGAAACACTGAGTTACCTGAATATTTCCTCCCCATATGAGCTAAAAATGTGCCATCAAGGGAATGGGCAGAGTAGGACACCTTTGGTCCCTCTCGACGCCGAGAAGGATTGTGGTGGTGCAGCAGGCTCCGCAGCGGCTGAAGAAGAAATCGTCGACGCAAGAGCTGTGCAGGATGTGGAATCGTTGTCGAGTCTGATTAGGGAAATCTTGGACTTTGATCAGGCTCAGAGGAGGAAGTGCTTTAACAGTAAGATGTACTTGTGCAATATCTGCTTCTGTGAGAAGCTGGGCAGTGAATGTATGTACTTCACCGAGTGCAGCCACGTATACTACAAAGCATGCCTGAAGGACTACTTTGAAATACAGATCAGGGATGGTCAGGTCCACTGTCTCAACTGTCCAGAACCGAAGTGTTCTTCTGTTGCTACTCCTGGCCAGGTAATAGACGTGTGCAAGCAGCGATGGTAGAGTTCTGCTAACTGACCAATAATTACAGAAGACAAGGTGTGGCTTTTCATGGTGAGCGTTGTGAATATACCTGGGGAAGCTTTTTTTTCATACTCCGAGCCACACAGAGGCATCGGAGTTAGAACTGGATCACGCGGCACGTATTTTGCCCACCCTGTTAGTACTGGCGTTGGTCAGAGGCCTGAATTAATGTCCCGTTGCATTTGACACCGCATGCTTTTCATTTGAGTAATTACTATTGAAATAGCATTTCTAGGAGTATTTTCATGACCTGGTGGAGAATATAAAGTGGATTCCTCCCAGGTGTAGGTACTTTTTCATTGACTTACTGTTTTTTGCTGAAGCTAGCAGGCTCAGAATTTCAGATGCATGTAATCTTTCTTTGATCTTTGTTTAGGTTAAAGAGTTGGTTGGAGAGCAGTTGTTTGCACGTTATGACCGCCTGCTTCTGCAGTCTAGCTTGGACCTGATGGCGGATGTAGTGTATTGCCCTCGCCCGGGCTGTCAGACGCCGGTCATGCAAGAACCAGGTTGCACCATGGGCATATGTTCCCGTTGCAACTATGCTTTTTGTACTCTCTGTAAAATGACTTACCATGGGGTCTCTCCATGTAAAGTTACTGCGGGTGAGTCATCGTATTTCAGAAATGGGTCAGGAAACAATTAAGTCTTTGTGAAAAAGACTGAAAGTCAGAAATTAAGCAAGGAAACTCATCACCGCGTGAGCTTTCGAAAAGATGAGACAGATTCATTTGGAGTAGGTCTGTTGCTGGCAATTAAAAATTATTCCTTTGATGACCCTCCACAGCTCAGGAGGTCCCTAAACCGCTGATTCCCAAATGCTGAGAGGCCATAGCAGGGGAAGAATAATTTTATATAATCTTACATATTTTATATATATTTTTTTTACCCTTTCCTGTGAATCCACCACTTTCTGTTGTCAGAGTTGATACTAGAATTGGGTGGATGCTTCTCTGCCTGTTTGGCCTCAAAATCCTGTTCAGAAAAAATATTTCCTTTTTTCAGTTTATTTTACATTGTAGATTTGTTCTAATTCCATCGACTGGTCTCTTTTATAATGAAATAGTGTAAAAGCGTTGAATTTTGAGGTAGAGGGGTTTTAAGATTCTCATCTCATGTATTCTAATGTTTTACTTGCTTTTTAATTAATGATGTTAGTTTCCTTTCAGAATGCTTTATGCTGTTATTAGCTGGACTTCTTTATAGAATATATTACAAAAGCTGTTTTCTTTTGTTTGATTGTGGTTTTTTTGTTTTGTTTTATTCCCCAGAGAAATTAATGGATTTGCGAAATGAATATTTAGAAGCAGATGAGGCAACTAAAAGATTTTTGGAACAACGCTATGGCAAACGAGTGATTCAGAAAGCCCTGGAGGAGATGGAGAGTAAAGAATGGCTAGAAAAGAACTCGAAGGCTTGTCCTTGCTGTGGTACTCATATAGAGGTAAGCATGGAGGGGAAAGGCTGAAGAATCATAGCAGCTCTTAACAGAAACTAAGATAAATTCAGTCAGTTCTGTATTTAGGCTGGAACAGAGATTTATTTGTAGCCTCCAAGTTCACCAGGGAAGGTAAATTTCTAGGAAATGGTAAGAGAACTTTCCCTTTCTGTCTGTGTTACGTAGAAAAGGAGGTGATGTTTCTGGAGCTCAGGGACTTAAGTACAGCAACTGGTATTGTTCAGACTCCAGCACTAAAAAGATCCAGGCTGAATATGGATCCATATGAATCCCTTTGTTTTCCGCGTGTTTCAGGCTGCTGCTGTTTCGAACTTCGAACTACACCAGTAAATCAAACTAGCTTCAGAAAAATATTAATTTCCAGTATTATTTAATATTATAGCCAATTTACAGTTCTGTGATTCTAGCTGCTAGTTCTTTTGAACAGTGAAAAAATACCAGTGTTGTGATAGAGTCGGGGTAAAATGTATTCATTAGTTGATGCGTTTTTGCGGACTGTTGTCATACAGAGACAGTCCTGAAGACTGACACGGTAAGATTTTGTTATTGCTATTTCTTCTTTTCTTCCCCTCAGAAACTAGATGGTTGTAACAAAATGACGTGTACTGGCTGCATGCAGTATTTCTGCTGGCTTTGTATGGGTTCTCTGTCAAGGGTGAACCCGTACAGGCACTTCAATGATCCATCTTCCCCATGCTTCAATAGGTACGTATTTACGTCTATTTCTTCCGGTGCCGTACCACTTATTTTTCTACTTTTTCTTACAGTTTCTCCCAGATTATTCTTACCTTGAAATTTGTAGCTGTACAGTTTAAGACACAGTTTCTTCTCTCAAATATTTACACTTAGAAGGACCCGACACTAACAATAAAAAAATCAGGAGTGATTCGGGATGTGGTTTTGCTTTTTAAGAACTTCTGTTTTAAAATTCTGGAGGAGTCTTCTGGGCCTATTCCTGACGCTTTACTTGCTGCCTCTGACAGAGACAGCCTGTAGTGAAACGTTTCCTTGCAGATGCTCAGGTATATGATAGTGCAGCACAAGGTTTTTGGGTAAAAAAGCTGCTTCTAAAAAGCTGCAAACTTGGCCTACATCGTCACTATCAGGGATATATCAAGAGAGAGGATGCCGCTGCTGTCCGGACAAATGAAAGGGCAGGCAGGTCAGAGAGGTGTAATAATGGCAGCCTCTAAGCTTGTGTGTATTCCATTGGGTTACGTGCCCATCGCTGTGATACGTAGTGCCTGGATACAAAAGTCAAAATGCCAATAGTTTACTCACTCCTCCACCGTCTGTCCTGCTGTAATAGATGTGGCTGACAGGATTTATTTTTCTCTTGTTCCTAGCCCTTCTTTTTCAGCATTCCCTCTTCTCCCAACAGTAATTTTTTCAATTCCTACCCTGTTTTCCTTTCTGTTTTTCTTCTGATGTTCTTTTTTAGTTTAGCTTAACCTCTACCTATCTTGACTAAGCTCCTCTGTTTTATAAAATAAACCATTTTCTTCCCTTTTGTTCCCCCCCCCAGCTTACATGTTATAGTTGTTTGCCCAGCTCTGTATTGTCGGATTAGATTGTAAGCTGTTTGGAGCAGGCAGGCCTGGCTGCTGCCGATATACTGCCTAAAGACCAGCTAGGAATGGCAGCATGCTAGGTAACTTTTAATACGGTTTGGATTACTAATATTTTCAGGGATTTCTTGAGACACCACGTTTGTAAGGTGCTGTACAACCTTCTGGTATAACGTGCTGTGGAAGTGCGGAGTAGCTTACTTTAATTGACTTTGACGACTGCAGTACGAGTGTTTTATGATACCGACAAAAATTGTGAAACTTGCTGCTTTTGTATTTTTGGTCACATTTAGATGGATTTGTTTGTTTGTTTGTACATATTTTACTTTTTTTACATCCTGATGTAAATTATTGGCTGTCTTGCAGATTGTTTCAAGCCATGCATATTGATGGTGAGTTCTGGGAAGTTGAAGATGAAGACTAGTAGCTTTCTCTAGTAACTAAAGCTGAGCAAACCAGAGACAGATGCTTTCCATTTTTGTGTCAAGTTTGTTTGCTTTTCACTTCCATTATGTGATAGAAGAATGGTAACTACCTTGCACTGCAGGATACTCACACTTCAGAGGCTGTCGCCAAAACCAAAGGAGACCATTTTACCCATCCTGTGGTCAGGATCACCACTGAAGGCCCTAATAATCATATCGATTGTGAAAGACACGTACAACCAGTCAGAAGTTGGATAATTACTGGAAAAATACATACTAAGAGGTGCCCCTTTTTCAAATGCAAAGAAGCAAAACTGAAGCCCCAAATCGTAGAACTATTTGGGGGTTTCCTTTAGGGAGACTGACCTTTCGAGGGTCTTGGCTCGTATCCATCGCAGGGTTTAGGGCAGTTTTATTACAGCTGTCGTGCTCTTTCTGGAGCTGTTTAGCGATGCTGCTCGGACAGGGAATGTTTTCTGATACAATACAGAAAATTTCTTCTGCATTCAGCAACTGAGCCTGTTGCTTCTATAGCATTTCCTGACCTGTTTCTCTGAAAAGCAGCTCATTGCTCTGTTGCTGATACTTTCTAATGACGTTAAAGTTGATTATCCCTAACCCCCTTCTTACTGGCTGTAATGCCCGGGTCTTTGCATTATTGAATGCTTTGGTAGAAAATGACCGACAACCATTTCCAGAAATTTGAATCAGTTTGACTCATCTCAGTGTTGCTGTTGTATTCACTCACGTTGCTGCTCCTTGTTTTGACAGTGATGAGTGCTAAGGCAATGAACTGAGTATGTGGCCAGTGAGAGGGTGAAAAGTATCAGTCAGATATTGAAACATATTTTTATGGATACATAATTGAGATTAACTTGAACTCTTCAAGATACTGAAAATTACCTTGTCTTCTCAGATGATGAAGTAATTTATTTTTTACTAACTCTTCATATAAGAAATTTGATTAGTTGATAGTTTTGCTTCTGGACTAGATCCCTTATTTCCACTGTTCTTGCACTTCAAATTATTTCAAAACCCAAATTGTTTCCCCTAAAAGCTCAGTAAGTAGTTTTGTGAGCGTGAAAGTAATTACTGGAGGGAACCACTAATTTTTTAGAAGTTTTTCCACTTGCAGAATGGTCTAAAAATTTATTTTTCCATTAAAACTGCACATGCCAAGTTCAAAACAAATAGCAGGGTCCGGATGGATAGCTCAGGAGCTGGAAGACTCTTCAGAAACTCAAGGTGAACGCCTCTCACTCACTTTTGACTGATAGTAAATAAATTTATACTCGGATATCTGGCCAAAATGAGTGCTGATTTAGTTCCTTTCGCAGAGGATGAAAGCCTGTAGTATTAGAATTGGCAGTGATTAAAAAGGTAAGATGGCAAGAGCGGATCTCTTGTCTTGGTTTAGGCTATAGGACAGCGTGTAGGGAAAGTTTACATTGTGTATGGTTTAAATTGTATTTCCTGCACCTTTCACATGCACTAAATTCACTTTAAGACAGTAAATGTAGTTGTCTGCCTGTTTGTTTTCATTATGGTATGCATACGGCAGCACAGGCCAGCGCGTGGCACGCTCTGTTCTGCGTCTGGGTGGTGATCGCCTCTAGTGCTTGTGTGCCACGGGGCCGAGGCGTGTGCGCGCTCGCATGGTCATCTGTAGAATGACGTGGACCAGACTCTCGAGTGAAGCTGGCACAGGATCTGTTCTGCTGACAGAAGTTTGGAGGTTTGTGTATGCAAAGTGCCCTCGCACCCAAAGAGCCCTGGTTTTCCCTGCGAGATGCAAGCCCCTAACGGATACATGGCGGCCATCGTGACAGTACTCCAGGAACGCGCCATTGGATGGAGCCAGCTTTTAGCTGCAATCCCCACACCAGTTTCCACTCTGGCCACAATTTTTAACTCTACAGGCCGAGTCCCAAAGCTGCCTGCTTTCGGAGGGGGCTTTCTTCCCACTAAGCTGCGTCTGTGGGCAGATGGGGAATGTTGGTGACAAGGCGAAGCACGTGCTTAAACCCCGTTTTCCTGCCTGGATGAAGGAGGTGGTGTTGGATCTCTTAAACCTACGGGAGGCTGGGCAGGTCCCTTCTGCCAGGACAGAGGTGGGCTGAGGGCAGGGCCTGGATGCCAAAGGGTATGTTGGGATGAAAAGCCGTGGCTGGGGATGTCTGCCAGAGCTACCGCAGCCCGAGTGCTATGGTGAAGTATTTGAAGATGTTGCAATGAACAACCTCTGCTTTCAAGAAAAAGCATTTGAAGACGTTGCAATGAACAACCTCTGCTTTCAAGAACTTTGTGTGGAGAGAGGAAGAACAGTGATGTAGTCACCCCTGTGTCTATAAATTCCGGGCACTCGGGGAGCACCGGGCTGGAGCTCCCATATTCTGCAGTGAGGCAGAGGAGGACAGACCCTCTGAGGACAAGCAGGTGCCTGCACTTGTAGGACAATCAGGTGGTGTTGCAAAGGTGGGACAGCTAAAACCAGACCCTGTCTGCACCGACAGAGAGCAAGGCAAGCAACTCTGGTAACACGGCACAGTTTCTTCCTCAGCATGTGCTTTTTCCTCTTGCAGACCTCCTCACTTTCTCCATTTCTGTGCATGCACAGAACGAGCGTTAGATTATTTGCAGACATTTTGTGGTAAAAGGTAGAGAGCTGTGACTGCCTCTTTTCTCCTTTAAAGATCCCCTTTTTTTAATGAAACGGCTGCTGCCTGGCAGGACGGAACCGCAGCAGGTGTTTGGTGGAGACCTGCCAGCAAACACTGGACAAGGCAGGGAGCTCTTGAAGTAGGGAGCAGCAGCAGCTATTTCTACCAAACTGCTTTCTATACAGCTTTGCTTCTAGCTGATTGATAGGGAAATCTTGTGCAAAATAACAGATCTTTCTCGTGCTTTGAAGGTTGTGTTGTTGCTGTTCAAAGATGGCGTCACGAGTCCGTTCAGCCACATAAACTGTTCCATGTTTCACTAGCACAGTGAGACTGAGCAGCAGATAAAGTCAATGTGACCATTTAGAAAAAATTAAGACATCTACTGTAGAAAGTTACATTACAGATCAACAGCTTACAAAATTTCTGCATAAAGAAAATAAATGCTCCCCAGTTTGTCTTGCCCCTCACTTGATTGATAGGAAACCCAGGAATCGAGTTTCAGAATTGGTGGGGTCTTGCCCGTACAGGCTGTTGTCCACCAATGTGGGGCTTCTGTAATGAAACACGGGCTGAGGCCAGAGGGAACAGAGCGTTTCCTTTGAGACTTACTTGGCATTTCCTTGATGCAATATAAAGCTGGGGAGGGAGGGAGGGAGAACTTACTGCTTCAGGCTCTGCACTGACACAGTAACAGAGTGCTGAGCAGCACAGAGGGAAGGCATTTATGCTTAATCTGACCAAATCTATCCTGTAGTACATCATAAAGCACGGGGGCATAGAAGATTACATCCTGAAACTGAACATGTAAGGCTCCTCATGTGACAACAAGTAAAATCATACAGATGTGTAAACTAACCATTAACTGCATTAATGGTACTGCGTTATTAATACAGCACTGATGAATGCTGTCTGTAGCCTCCCTTTTGCCTAGATGGTCTCAAGTCCAACATCTGGCTCAAAGTGGGGTTCAGCCAGGGCTTTATCCAGTCAGGTCTTGAAAACCTCTTGAGGACAGAGGCTGCACAACCTCTCCGGGGAACCTGCCCCACTGCTTGACTGTCCTCATGGGTTGGTTTTTCCTTACATCCAGTCTGAGCATCTTGCCTCAACTCGAGTCTTGTTGTCTCTTCTCATCTTCCCCCTGCACACTGCCCAGGACAGCCTGGCTTCATCTTCTCGATGACCTCCTCCTAGCTGTGAAGCACACTGCTATGAGGTCATGCTGAAGCTTTCCCTTCTCCAGGCTGAACAAGCTCAGTTCCCATTTTAAATGTCTGTAACGTAAGAGTGTTTTGTGGAGGGGGAGCGACACAAAAAGGTACTTGTCGTAATTGCAAGGAATACATCCCAAAGCGATTACCCATTTGGTTTCTGCAACATTGTACTTTCACTTATCTTCACACTTAAGTTTTGGGGCCTTCAGTCCACATGATTACAGTTGCTTCACAGATTAAACAACTCATTCTCCATTGACTTTACCTTCAGAGAATAAGCTAGTGGCGGAAGTTTGTGGAACACAGTATACTGGATCCTATCCTCATTTGGTTAATTAAGGCAGGTGTTCCATCTGTCTTTTTAATGGAGAGAAGCAAGCACATAATCATTTTGCTAATTTAAGAACACATATGAGATGAGTTTCTGCAGCAATTCCCTTTCTTCACAGCTGGTTTTCAACAGAAAAGCTGGTTCAGCATTACTCTGAACAGCGAGAGACTAATCGCTGTATGGCTTCTTAGACTGGCTTCTTTCTGCTCCCGTCTCCTTCATGCTGTATAAGGGTTCCACAAGCTTGTTGTGAACCAGCATTAAACCTAATGTAGCAAGTAAAAAGATGACTTAAGTAGACATAATAAAGCAAAATTCTCATTCATTGGATGCTAATGAAATTAGGCACTACTAGAGTCCTTGTTCCTTTGCTCCCATGCCCACACAGTTAAGCATTACCTTTACCCGTTTATTATGGCTGTACATCTCAGCTGTTACACCTAAGGAATGTACTCCTTTGGGAGTTGATTAAACAGGAACATACAATGCAAAGCATGGCTTTGCATGACTTGACAAAGCATGGCGTGACTTAAAAGCTAAATACAACAGCTGCTTGGTGTGGTCAAACACTCACCTTTGAAGTATTTCACTGTCTTAACTTTGAGTTCCAGCGTGGCATCCTCATCGCACACAAACACGGTGTTGGGGTGTTGCTGGAAAGCAGATACTGTCCACATGTGGTTGACACCTTCCTCAATGGCTTTGTACAAAGCAAAGGCTTTGTGGGCTCCTGTGATGAGAATCATCACCTGGACTCCGAGAGACAGAGGATGGCAGTTAGGGTCTAGAAGATGCCTTCAGAGAGCACACCCACACCCTGCTGAACTGAACTGCTGAAGAGAGCTGCCCCGGTCCCTACCAGGGGGATATCTCTGTCATCCTCCGCAGAGGCACTTCACTGTATCACAAATCTGTTTGCTCTGGCTGCATTTTATTTGTCAATTAAATCATAGCCTGGTGGGTCATTTTAATGATTCGGATCCTTTGAGCTCCCATTAGGCACCTATATGCTGAGACTTAACAAGTATAAATCAAAGTATAGACTCAATGAAAAGCTATCCCATACAGTTTTCATGATCTGCTGGAGTAACATCAAGTCAACCAGCGATTCTTGCAGTTATTTCCCCAGATGAGACTCTTAACCAAAGACATCCTCCCAGACCTTTCTAGCTCCCTGTGGACAACAGCTGTACTGCAGGGTTACACAAACCTAAGCGTTAGTAGAGCAAAAATGGAAGACAGAGCAAGAGCCTTTCCATGGTGTTGCAGGATGCAAGAGAACGGGAGGGTCAGGTATTCAGCTGCCTGTGGCAGGGAAAGTGTAAGCTGGCCTACGCCAGCAGGGTGCAATGCTGCTCCAAGACTGGATAATCTTTAGCTATTCCAGGAAGCCCTGCTCAAGAGCTACTGTCTGAAGTCACTGCTTTTCTCCTAACCTCTCTGGCATCCATGACAGTGCCCACTCCGACCGTCAAAGCCATTGTGGGGACTTTGGAGAGGTCACCATCAAAGAACCTGGCGTTAGCCAATATAGTATCCATAGCCAAGGTCTTCACTCGTGTCCTGGATACCAAACTTGATCCAGGCTCATTGAAGGCAATGTGACCGTCTGGGCCAATACCTGTGACAGAGACAGTTTGAGAAGTAGGTCAGTGGCTGCAGTGGTTATTGTAGGAAGCAGAACGAGCAGCACTCCTATTAGAAGGACATTCAGTGCTTCAGGAATAGATACAGATCTGAGAAAATACAATTTTTCTGTTCAAGCTTAAATTTGCTTCTGGTAGGAATGACAGCAAAAGCCCCCTCTGAAGTCAACAAAGACTCTTCCCTAATTGTGCTGGGACAAGAAGACAACAAGTGGATGGCAGAATCTTAAGGCAAACTGATGGGAAAAGCTTGCGTTGAGCTCCTGTTGGCTCAGAGGACTCTGACTACTCCTAGCAGTTTTAGCACCGGCAATTGTAATACATTTTGTATTCGGTACAGTTTTAGCCCTGCCTGTTTCTCCTGCTCATCGTTTCCTGAACAATTCACTTACTGGATCGAAATACTTAAACCTGGGGGAGCGGTACATTGGAAGACAAGGCTGCCAGCACACGAGCGCCCAGGGCGATGGTGTATGGGTTGGCTTTCACTGCAAATCCACTGAACTGCATTGAAAATGAACTCTCCTGATAATACATGAGATAGCTGGTGGAGGAAAGGCAGCGCTTCCTGCCAGTGTTTAGAGACCGCTAGTCCTTCGGGTTTTCACCTCCAACAAAGAGTTCAATTCCTCCAGCCGCTTTGATTTTATCCTCAAATGCGTCACACTCTGCCTGTAGATCAGGTGCATTTCCATCCAAAATGTGAACGTTTTCTGCCGAGATGTCAATGTGCTTAAAGAAGTTATTCCACATGAAGGAATGGTAACTTTCTGGGTGATCCCTTGGGAGACCTGGTAACAGAGCATGCACAGGACTAAGACCAACTGAAAGAATATCACACATGATGTAAACCACCTATACACCCTTGCAGTGGCTTTGGTAATAGAGCACTGCTTTCTCTGTCATTTGTGACTCCCTCAACTTTCATAAGTTGTTTTTATTTCCCTAAATAGCAAAATTAAATCAATCACAATAGCTCCTATAAGACACGTGCTCGTACTAACATGCAACGGATGTTCAAGAAAAGGAGGCATGCACTGTGCCTCATCTGTTCCTACCTTTTCAGCATTCCTACCAGTTTGTATTAGCAAGAATGGTTAAAAAACTGTGCAGAAGCCTGGGAAATAACTTACTGCATATTCCCCCCCCCCCCCCTTGAATGCTATAAACCCACACTGGACTGCCTATTCCCTACTGCTGCTTGATTAGGATTGTTCACAGAAAAACTTCTTGGCCAGGGTAAAATTAGCATTAGCAAATACTTAGCCTGTATGGTTTTCACCTTTGGAGCTTTAGGCTTGCCCACTAATCTCTCTGTACTCTTTCTTCTGAAGAGGCTATTTCATCACAGCTTCATAAACGAAATGGTCCTCTGCTATCTTTAGAGGAGTGCACGTCGGGTACGGAAGGGCACTCAGACAGGTAGCACATCGGTCTTTATACGAGACCTGGAGCCAAAGTGACCTTTATAATCCCAGAGCAAAGATGGTAGTTAATATTGCACGCTATCTCAGATTGCAATGACAAGATGGATCCTCAGCTGATCAATACCTAAGTTCAGGTAAAATACAGCAGTGTCTAGTGCGTATAACACCAGGCAACACCTGATAGTCTTTAGTATTTCTTACACAGGTTTTAAAATTGTCCCCGTTAACTCCCTTGGCTAATGCGGATTTTATCCTTCCTACCTTACATCTTTTGCAGGTGGGATTTTCTGCACCCACCGTGCACTAACGACTATCCGGCTGCGGTACCGAGAGCTGGGGGCACGCCAGCCCCTCCAGCAGGCTGGCGGCCCTGCCTCAGCAACTGGACATTGGCACTATACGGACAGAGATACTTAATATACAGAAAGACGGGTAAGGAAAGCCAAACGCTTCTCCTGTGCGGGCACTCACCCACGTACTCGTCCATGTTGAAGGTTTTCACGTACTCGAAGGAGAGGTCCCCGTTCCGGCAGTACTCCACCAGCTTCCTGTAGCAGCCCAGCGGCGTGCTGCCTGCGGGGAA